TTTTCCAATAAGCGCAGGCCTTAGCCAACCACTTCAGCATCGTTTCACACCCTTTACTGAAGAACCAAATCCTAGTGCGTCCTTTTCTCAGTCTGAGTTTGTCAGCCAAGGCCTCCAGAGTCTCCTCGTTAGGGCTTCGGTCTTTCTTGAAGTGTTCTTTTTCGCTCCAGTAGCTGCTCCCAGGTGAACCCAGAGTATTCATCCCAGTAGGACAAGAAGGGTGGAGCTGTCTCCATCTCAGTTACTTTTATCTTGGCTGCAGCTCTCTTCAGTTCCATGCTTCAGTTTGAGTCTAGGATTTTAGCTTAAATCTCCATAGGGTCACATCTTATAGCCCAGGGTAGCTTGGCATTCATCTGGTTGAGGGTGGCTTTGAACTCATGGCAATCCTCCTGCCTCAAGCTTTCAGGGCCACTATTTCTTGCTTGCTGATATAAGTTAAAAACTAAAAGAGGACCTAGCCATTTTCTGAGTGAAGAAAGGGATGTCGAGTGATGAGTTCCAGAGAGACACAAAGGACTTTGTCACTGATGCTCTTCTCCTTTCTCTTTTTCCTCACTGTGATCTGGAGCAGCTAGAGTCTAGCTAGGCATCTGATGCTGGGCCCTGTGGGGACGCAGAACTCCTTCCTCCTTTAACTGATTGCCTGCAGCAGATTGAGTATTCTGTTGTCCACGTTTCCCAAGCACAGTACGACCTCAACCTGGCTTCTGCCAGCCCAGGAGTAAAATAGTGATATTTCATTTAAATTGACTATTGATGAGGTTCCAGATGTCAGCATGTTTATTAGCTTTCTGTTGTCTTTTAAAAACTTTTATTTTATTTCGGTAAACCTGAACTTTTAGCTCAACTTACTTTAGTAAGAATTCACTTCTGTCTGTCTCTCTGTAATACAGTCTACATAAAATATGTTAAAAATGTTTTTGGGGGCGAGACAAGATCTTACTTTATAGCTCTGGTTAACCTAGAATTCACTATGTAGACTAGGCTGGCCTCACAGAGACCCACCTGCCTTTGCTTTCCTAGCATTGGGATTTGAATAAAAAAGTTCTGTATAGCCCAGGATGGCCCTTCAGCCTGTAATCCTTTTGCCTCAGGCTCCTAATGCTGGGATTGCAGATGTGTATCGCCACATATGGCTTTAACTACTTATTTTATCATTTAAAAATTTTTATTTATCTAATGTGGGGGAGGGGCATGTATGCATTGTGAACATGCAGGTGTTAACTTGTGTGGGCTGGTTCTCTCCTTTCACTGCGTGGGTCCTAGAAGTTGAACTCAGAGTATCAGGCTTAGCAGGCAACAAGTGCCCCACTCACTGAGCCATCTTGTAGGCCCTGATTTATTTATTTGCCACAAGGTGAATCTGAGATTCATCTGCCCCTCTGCCCCTCTGCCCCTCTGCCCCTCTGCCTCTGCCTTTCCAGTGCTGGGATCAAGGCCACCTCCTCTACATCTGGGTTTTAAAATAAAGTTTCAGTTTAACAAAATAGATTATTGAAGCTAAGAGCAAGCAAGCATTTCAGAATAGCTTTACATATTCTGGAATTAGGGGCTGCATTTTTCTCTCTGATGACTATGTCCAGGTTTTGTGTAGTGGATCTGCAAGGCTGAAGTAAGATTTTGAGTTGAAAGTCAGTATGGGCCACTCAGTGAAATCCCATTTTAAGGAAAACAAAGCCAAGATGGAATATTAATCAACAATGTTTCATCATCAAACTAGGGCTGGCCCACTGTGTAGATTGTTGGCAGAGTACTTGTGAGGAGAGCCGGGCAAGAGCAGCACACTCTTAATATCGACCTTGTTTGGGTATCTAGGTGTGGTGATGTATTCCATTCACTAATGTACTTTTAAAGTGCTCAGGACCAAACCTAGCAAGCAGCTCATTCACACATTGCAGGCAACATTCTCCCTCTGAGCTGCATCCTCAGTCCAGTCCAGTATTTTATGTTCCTGTGACCTTGACGTCCATAGCTGAATGAACTTGTTGAATTAGCCTGATGTGCGGCTTGTGCGATGAAGCGTACACCAGACTGTTGTCTTTCTTGCGGCTCACATTGGAGATCCATACAAAGAGACTTGTAGATGAAATGATGGGGCTGGGGTTTGTTCCCCTCATTGGCGGAGCTGTGTGTGTGTGTGTGAGCAGGGACAAGCCCTGGCACTTTCGACTCCTGTGTAAGGCAGGCTAGTTCAAAGCAAGATAAAAGATGTGCTGTTTATTTGCTTGTGAGTACGAGGCATGCAGTGAGTAAGAGCCCAGGCGTGGAGTTCTGCCTGGGCTGGGACTGCTTCTCCTACCATCCAAGCCAGCTCTTACCTGTCTGGGCCTGTTCCTTCCTCAGTAGCTGGAGCAGACTAGCACCTGCCTTGTAGAGTTGCAGGGAGGCAGCACCGGGTTGGAGAGCAGAGCGCTCCTCAGAGCCCTGCTGTGTCCAGTGCAAAGGACGTGGCCAGTGTGTCCTCTCTGTCTCCGCCTCCTCTCCCTGTACTGTCCAGTTGTCAGAGAGCTTTGCTGCCATTTCCAGGAGAGAGGCAGGAGTGCTGACCTCTCAGCCAACCTCGCATCCTCTTGAGCTGATCCACCTGCCTCTGCCTCCCATGTATGGGGTGCACCTCTATGTCTACTGTAAACTTCCTACATATTGGACAGAGTAAAAGAATCATACCCTTAAAATTTAAATTTGGGACCAGTGAGATGGCTCAGCAGTGAAAGCCTGCTGACCTGGGCTCCACATGTGGAAGGAGAGACTGGTCTCCTACAAGTTGTCTTCTGACTTTCTCTTTGTACTGTGACATGTGCATATACACACAAGTAAATAAACAAAATATAAGAAAAAACTAAGCTTTCCATACGTGCTGAATATAAATGTACAGTTCACTTTATTTCCACACTAGCCAGCAGGAAACAATTATTAGTGCCTTCAGAATTTTCTTAAGCCTTGCTTTCCCTTAAGAGAAAGTCCCTTTCACTCTTCCGACTGTCCCTTCTAAATCCTGTCTCGTGTGTGTGTGTGTGTGTGTGTGGTGTGTGTGTGTGTGTGGTGTGTGTGGTGTGTGTGGTGTGTGTGGTGTGTGTGTGGTGTGTGTGATGTGTGTATGTGTGGTGTGTGTGTGTGTGTATGTGTGGTGTGTGTGTGGTGTGTGTGTGTGTATGTGTGGTGTGTGTGGTGTATGTGTGTTGGTGTTGTGAGTGGGCTTGCTTTGCTGGGGTTATGAGATACTCCCTGAGGTGGTGTGAGTAAGTTCCGCTGCTGTCTGCAGCCTTGTTGGCACTCAACTGGGGGCTCGCACAGCCTCTCCCCTGTGCACCTGCAATGGCAGTGAGCATGCATGTCCTGTGAAGAACAGGGAAGGTAGTCATCAGGGCGGTAGGTCTTCCCTCTTCCTGTGCTGCCCTTAGCAGTTCTCACAGCTCTGCAGATTGCTTCTCTGTGGGAGTGTGAGCTCACCTCAGTCTCCTGTCTCACTGGGAAGTGAGGGTTGGCACACATGTCCAAATGCCTAGCTGAACTCTGCACTAAGGGAAATTCCCAGAGGACCAAACAAATGAAGAGGGAGTTGAAATCACGGGGTGATAGGAGGGGGTGAGGGGAGGGAGCCAGTGCCATTCTGAGATATTGCAGGAGTCTGGGGAGAGAGAGCTTCGATTAGACCATTTCTCAGGGCCAGTGCTCCAACCCTCAGACCGAGTTGGGAGGGAGAGCCAGAGTCAGCCAGGAAATGAGACCCTCCTGGTGGCAGCATTCCAGTGCATTGTCTCTTGGCCTTGTGGATGGGGCTTATACTAGTCCCTCAGAAGGTCCCATTGATGGCCTTTGAGACCTGGGAACTTGTAGCTGTAGGAGAGGGTCCCATCAACAGCTTCTTTTGTCTTGGAACTCCAGCTTTATGGGTAAAGAGCCACCTGTCACATACACAGTCCATGTAATTTCCAGTAATATCACGTGTTATGACGAACCTGGTGGCACTCAGTGTTAGAGGGCTTTGCTGATATCTCGTCCTGGTCCTGAAATGTGTGGTTCTGCTTCAGATTGAGACATGGAGGCAGGCAGGGGTGGGCGTATTCCTGTGAGCTGTGGTTTTAGCAGAGCCTGGGATTTCCCCATGCTCAGTCATCTGTCTCCACTTGACTGGTTCCTGGGAGTGCCTCTGCATTAGCTTCTGCCCTGAAGGCCCATCATACTTGGTATCACTTAGGTTCAGGTGAGAAAAGTCTGGGAGGAGCTGAGGGCAGCAGTGCATTTGTACTTACTTCACCACCCCCTCCCCCCGCCAGAATTTTTTTTGTTTATAACTTTACAACTTTAAATTATTCTTAATTATGTGTAGGTGTGTGTATCTGCCGGTAGGTATGTGCACAGGAATGCAGGTGCCCAAAGAGGCCAGAAGCAAAGGATCCCCTGGAGTTATGAGTCTCCTAATGTAGTTGCTGGAAAAGCAGCAAGTGTTCTTAACTGAAGCAGGCCCTAGCCCCTAGCCCTGTGTTCTTTAGTGGGGGGATTGTTTGTTTTTCTTTTAAACAGGGTCTCACTATATACCCATGGCTGGCAAGGAACTCTATATAGACCAGGTTGGCCTTGATCTCACCCTTCTGCCTCTGCCTCCTGGGTGAGGATTAAAGGTGTATACCATGTGACTTGGCCTCCTCTATCAAGTTTTGAGTACCTACCAGATGCCAGACACAGTTCTTTCAGGGAGAATACAGGGTGACTTAATCATGGTTCATCTTGCTGAGGGGTTCACGTGTACACTTGACCCTGCCCATTTGCCCAGAGCCCATACAAATGTGCTGAAGTGAATGAATCCACAGCTGCCCTCTGCAGGGCTTTGACATCTGTGGGAGTCCTTTTCAGCATTTGAAGGGTAACTTGTGACAGCTGGATCTGTCTTTACACTTTAGGGAACTTGAACTGGCCAGCATGAAACTGGACACATGGGTAGCTTTTCAAGCAAATGAACAGGCTGACTAATGAGAAATCAACCCCCATCTCTGTAGGATGATGTAAGACATAAAGTCCATCTCAACACCTTCGGGTTCTTCAAGGACGGGTACATGGTGGTCAACGTCAGCAGCCTGTCTGTGAACGAGCCTGAGGGAGCCGCGGACAAGGACGGTGAGGCAAGTGTCTTCCTGTGCGTTCGGGGTTACTCGTCAGTGTGGGTAGAACCGAAGTCCGCTACAGGATCAGCTTTACGTGATATGACGGACCTTCCTGTGATCTGTGCAGTGCTGGGGTGGGGCCCAGGGTGGCTTTCCTGTGCTAGGTAAACATGCTATCACTGGTCCACGGCATCCCAGCCTTACGTTGTGACCTTTTTCTAAAGTTTGTTTATGCATTTTATGTATGTGAGTGATTTATCTGCATGTACATCTGCACACCAAAAGAAGGAATTGTATCCCACTACAGATGGTTTTGAGCCACCATGTTGTTACTAGGAATTGAACTCAGGACCTTCGGAAGAGCGTAGCAGCCAGCATTCTTAACCATTGAGCATTTGTCCAATCCTGTAGTTCTTGAATAAATATATGATTAGTGATTTTACTTGAGCAGCTATTTCCTTCTTACAAGAAAGCACTTAAGAAAAATGAGAAGCCAGGCTAATGAAACTGTGCTTTCTGTGTTTGTTATTATTTAACTTAATTTTGCTCTTCAAGTAAGAAAGGCAAGGACAGAGCAAGGACAGAGGACAGCATGAGGGACTTAGTCTTTCCTCTCTTTGCTTCTCTCAGATCGGATTCAGTCTCGATCGGACCAAGAACGATGGCTTCTCTTCTTACCTGGTAAGTCGCCTTTTAAAAAGTTTCTGTGTTTTGGTTTTGCCCGCATGCATGTCCGTGCACCACATGCTTGCTTAGTGCTGTCTGAGAATCCCCTGAACTGAGTTACAGTTGTGATCATGGGTCCTGAGAATAGGACCTCTGTAAGAGCTTAAGAAGTGCTCTTGACAACTGAGTCTTCTTTCTAGCCCTCATCCCCTTTTAAAGGGACAGTAGGGGATGACAGGGTTTCATTCTGTAGTCCACGGTGCTCTCAAACTTGGAGCAGTCCTCCTGCCTCAGTCTCCTGAGTTCTAGGATTACAGGCATGCGCCACCACACTTTGTATCCTTGGCTATCTCAGAACACAGTATATCACAGGTGCTAGGATTGCAGGGGGCTGGTAAGTTTTAGGTCACAGCCTGACTGGAGTCCTCACTGGGGCTCAGGACACCCTTCAGCCGACAGTCCTATTCTAAGGTGGCTGCTGCTGCCACCTTAGGCTCTGTTGAGAGGAGCACAGGCTGCTCATCTGCCTCTTTCTGCCGTAGTGAACACGATGATACACACTTGCTCTTCCTTTGGCAGGATGAAGATGTGAATTACTGTATTTTAAAGAAACAGTCTATGTCTTCTGTCACTCTTCTCATCTTAGACCTCTCCAAGAGTGTGTAAGTAATTCCAAAGTTCCCTCTGCTCACCCTCAGTGCCATGAGGGTACTAGCTACCCTCACACAGTATCTAACGTGTGCCTGTCCTATACTGAGTGCTGGAGACGAGGCCCATGTGCAGAGAAACAGAACCAGCCTGGGAGGAAGGCATACAAAGTACAATCCAAATGACTGCAGCACAGTGGAGGAAGGGAAGAGGAGGTTCGCACACCACATCATGAAAGGATGGTTTTAGGTCAACCTTAGGCAGGCAGCCTTGTGGTGAGTCAGATTTTCCACATGAATGAGAGCAGGAAGGGCGTCTGCATCCGCAGGAGAGGGGTTGGCCTGTGAAGGATCGTGGTGATCAGCACTGGGTTAGCACACGAGGTGACTGTTGGGGAACACAGTAGAGGAGGCAGGTAAGAAACCAGACAAGATCCAGGTGGCTTCTGCCGCTGAGAGGCTGGCTAACTCCAGGGCTCAGTGCCCTTTCCAGCTTCACAGTGCTGGTGTCTCATGAGATTGTCCTTGGGGGATGGCCACTACAGAGCACAAATGAAGGCTTCCTGTCCTTAAAAAAAAAAAAAAAAAAAAAGCACTTTAAAAAAGAAAGTCACTGGTGAGGAGTGTGACAGCTCAGTCCTTTTAATAAACACATTGAACTTAGATGAATTAGGGGATTTTGTGTTTTCAAGTTAGGTACATTTACATCTGGCCACTGCCTGGGTTTCATGTTTGGGAGGTGCAGCAGAAGATGATGTTGGGTATCTTCCTCAATCACACCCCAGCCCTCAGCCCCCGTAAGCAGGATCTCACTCTGTAGACCAGGCTGGCCTTGAACTCAGAGATCTGCTTGACTACCTCCCTCCAGAGTGCTGGATTAAAGGTGTACATACCTTTAATTAATTCATTAATCCCAGCACTCACTCAGAAGGCAGAGGCAGGCAGATCTCTGTGTGTTCAAGGGCAGCTTTGTCTATAGAATGAGTTTCAGAACACCAAGGGCTACACAGAGAAACCCCATCTGAAAAAAACAAAAAAACCAACCAACCAAACAAACAAAAAACCAAAAGAAAAAGGTGTGCACCACCATGGCCAGGGTTCTACCTTAAATTCTTTCTTTCTTTTTTTTTTTTTTGGTTTTTCGAGACAGGGTTTCTCTGTATAGCCCTGGCTTTCCTGGAACTCACTCTGTAGACCAGGCTGGGCTCGAACTCAGAAATCCACCTGCCTCTGCCTCTCAAGTGCTGGGATTAAAGGCGTGCGCCACCACTGCCCGGCCTCTACCTTCTTTTCTTGATGAAGAGTTTCTCACTGAACCTGAATCTTTGCTGATTTACCTAGATTAGCTGGCCAGTAAACTGCAGGAGTCTCCTGTCTCTACCTTCCTAGCACTGGGGTTGTGGGCTCACAACACCACGCCCACTTCTACACGTGGGCTCTGAGGATTAGATTCAGGTCTGCATAATTTGGAGGCAAGTACTTTGCCAACCAAGCATCTCTATGCCCAGCCATCTCAACTTATCTGTAACATCCCTCTTTTCTTCTGTTCATTTATTGTATTGGTGCTGATCAGAGCATATAGAGACCAGGGAGCAATTTATGGGGAGTTAGGTCTCTTCTTCCACTGTGCAGCCTTCTGGGCTTAAAGTCAGGTTGTCAGGCTTAGCCACCAATGAGCTAGCTCTCTGGCCCTGTGTGTGTGTGTAATTCCCGAGGGAGCCTTCAAAGGCTTATAAGTAAAGAATACTGTATCCAGACCTAGCTGCTAGCAGCTCAGAGTGGCCAGTTTGAAATACACATGGTCAGAAGCAGAAAGAGGAAGCTTCCAGTGAGGAAGTCTCTTAAAAAATAAAGCAGTTTGTCATAGAACTCCTCTGAGCTTCAGTAAGACATCCACCCCCAGTTGGCTCTGCTTTCACCTGCCAGGAAGGCTGCCAATCTCCTAGGTTATAGTGTTTGGCAAACAGGACTGAGCTGGGGGTTGACTCCCACCTGGAGGCCCTGCGTGGCAGCAGGTTCAGGAAGGGCAGCTCAGTGGCGGCTTGCTCATATTAGGGACTAATTAGGGATCTCATGCCTTTTACCTCTGCTCCCCCACCCTCAGTGTCCACTTCTCAGGCAGTGTCCCAGCTGTCACCAGCCCTCTGTTTCCTCTCTCATAACCAGCCAAGGGGAAGGAGGAAATCAAACACTTCCCACAAACAGGTTTGACTGGTGTACTGGCTTAGGTCAGTGTGCTGCCAGGCATGAGCAAGTGGCCTAGGCAAAATTGGGTCTGTTAAGAAGGGAAAAGAAAGGTTAGGTATAATGACACATATCTTTTTTAATTTTTTAGAAATTTATTTATTTTATATATATGAGTACACTGTCTTCAGACACACCAGAAGAAGGCATCGGATCCCATTACAGATGGTTATGAGCCACCATGTGGTTGCTGGGAATTGAACTCAGGACCTCTGGAAG